AAATATTTATTTTCTGGTCTACGTTTTTTCAATGTTGAATTAATTTAGAGATAAGCCTTTTGCCTTTTGCTTGCTAACGTGGCAAGACTGCAGGACTACATGAGTGCATCGGTGTGCATTGGTGGAAGCTTGCTTTTTGGCAATTTGACGGTGCTTCCCAGGGAGAAAGATGCATTGACGGGATGAGTTCTATTTCCGAAAGGAAATCTGCACTTTGTCTATTTTTGAAAAGAATTTTCAAGATGGACAAAAGTGATATAATTTTCCATTTTTAGTCTATTCGTGATATTCTCCCATTTTAGTATGCTATTCCTGGTTGCATCTGCTCATTTTATCAGCTAGTATATTTCTTTCCTTTTACTAATGTAATTTGTTGCACTTGTAATTCCTGTCGACAAGTATATTCCCTTTTTAGCAAGACCATTTGTGATTCTTTACTATGATGGACTCCAGAATCCAGATTCCAACTATCCTAGAGAAGGAGAAGCTGTGCAACTCATTCCTAAAAAACCAACTACCCTAGAGAAGGAGAAGCTGTATATTTATTTATTTCATTCGTTTATGAAACAAACATTTTACGTGTAACATGCACAACCTTATAACACAGCCTTACATGTAGTTTAGTTAGATTTTGCCTTCTAGCACCCTCAAATTTGACTTTGTAAAACTTTATGTAACTGAGTCATACACGTATCACAGGACTTAACTTCACTTTTGGTCATATGAATTTTATGTCAATTTCACATTTAGTTTACATCTTTCACTTTCACTATTTGTGGTCCTCCAGTCCAATTATTCCGATGCTTTTTCGGCTATTTAATCCCAGAAATATTTTTTGAGTTGGATTGAGAAACTTAATTTCTATATATGCCCCCTTTAGAGGTCTTGATTGAATGCACTCACTTCAGTAATTCAGTTGGCGTACTTGAAATGCTGGCCTTGTTGATTTTGGCAAACCAGTAAACTCAAACAAATCAAACAATAATTAGCTTAAAACTTATATTCGTAATGAAAAATTAACTTCTTACTAATGTGGAGAGAACATTTGATGAAATAGTAAATCTATTAAATATCAAATCTTAAATCTTAAGTTTGAACAGCGGAGTTGCAATGGTTTATAATATTAAAATTTATAATGATTGGATGGCTAAGAAAGCAGTTTTAACTTCTAAGATTGTTTTGATTAAAAACGTAATCCAAAACCTGGACAATTGAGCAAACCATGTGTATATTAACTTCCTAAAATGCAGCAATCGTTTAAATTATGGATGGCCCGGTTCTGGTCTGACCGGCCCAGCCTGCCATTGTGCAGGACCGGTTCTGGACTGGCTGACCGGTTCCGGACTGGCCCAGTTAACCGGGACCGGTTCTGGGCCTGGGACCAGCCGGTTAATCGGGACCGGTTCCGGCACTAGGATCGGCTTGAGGGAATTGTTTGGTGCAGGATATTTATTTAATTTGTATAAACTATTTTTTATAACCATTTTTGTAAACAAGTTTTGAGAGGTTCACTTTTTCAAAGAATTGCCTAAAATTACTAAAATGATAGCTACATAGTTTTGTTTTCAGACTCTACTCAATTGCTTCTTATCAAGATAACTGTAGATTTGTTTTATGAAAACAGATTTGAGTGTATGCTGTTCTAAAAATCATTTTATTACAAATTCTGATAATAATTTTCAAAAATAATAAATTAAGGATTCTTTCAATGCACTGATTCCATAACAAAAACATCGAAAAAGAACCCAGAATGAATCAATACTAATCCTTTATAGCAACATGTGACTAGCAACGAAGAGTCAAATTCAAAGAGCCACGGCCTTAGAGAAAGAGAATATAATTGGGATACTATTTAATTACGCGATATAAGTTCAATGACACTGAAAATGACTATTTGAATCAAATATATTTTGAATGAGCCATCACCTGTTACATTGTGTGCATGCCCCCCCTAACCTCTCAGAGAGAACCTAATATACAGTTTTAAATGATTTGATGGCAGCAAGATTTCAGTAAAGGGAATAATCTGACTTATCCTTAGAACCCCTGTGAGAATTTAATTGATGACTTATTCTTAGACGTATCTTTTCTCCTAAAGAGGGTACCTTATTAAAAATAAGGTAAAAAATCTCATGATCTGATTTTTTCCATTCAAAATTAGAAGTACAATCAAAACTCATAGAAGTGAATAGTTGTGTTCAATTTTTTTAGAATCAAATTAACAAAGGAATGCATTATCTAAAATTAATTATAATTAAATTCGTATTGATATTGTTGGGCTCACAGAGGAGTGCATCATGCAGAGATAGGTGTAAACGATTTCACGATTTCCACCTATGAGATCTTCAAAATAAACTGCAAAAATCACAAAACCAGTCAACACAATTGTTGAAATTAGATTAGATTAAGAAATTAAATTTCTGATACTGAAAATGAGATAGATGATAAAATTTTATCTATGAGGCATTTTGTTTATGGTTTACATTACGAGAGCATTTGGGTCATCATTATGATTTGTTAAATTTTTTTATGAGGAGAGAGTTTCCAATCATGGTTGATTATGCAATGGCTACTAATAAAGTGAAGGCCACTCTATCTCTCATGTGGGGTTGTTGTCGAAGAAGCCAGTTTTCTCTCATTGTCAGCGTTTTGTTGTGGGTTCTAGAGTCACCAATAGGACATGGATGAAAATTTTGTTATTGGATGGTGGCGAACAAAGCACATTGAAGACTACAAATGTTCTCTACAAAGTTTTTCAAAATTAGTAGAGCTAATGTTTGTTATTCAACTTTAGTTCTTTTAATTGATTCAACAATAGCTTTTTGGGAGGTAGAGAAGCATTAAGGAGACTATTGAAAGTGTTCATGTTCAGGTCAAATACCAATTTCTCTATATTATGAAATGCCCTGTAAATTTTTGTTGTGAATACAAAAACTCTGTGAATGTTTATTGTAATTATATGTATTTAAGCTTTTTGCCGTGCATCGCACGGGTGAGCTACTAGTGATGGAATAAAGCAAAATGGCTCACTAAACTGTCTGCGCTTCTTTTTTATGAAGCAGCAGTCAGCCCATGCAATTTTGGACGCGCTTTTCACTATGGGTCATCCGGTAACAGTCTCTCTGTGCTTTAGTACATGGGTAAGACTGCGTACATCCGACCCCCCTTACCCCACCGTAGGTGGGAGCCTGTGCGGCACTGGGGTAAATGAAAATGTAAATGATGATGAGTATTTAAATATTACTAATAGTTGAAGTCTACATATTTAGAAATTAAACTACGGGGTATAAATTCTTTGAACTGCAAAAGCTAACTTAGAATGTGATGGAAATTTGATACACAAATTTAAAGAATAAAAAGAATTTGGTTGTCCATTTGAATGGTAAAAGGGACAAACAAATTGGGGATGGAAGAAGTGTAGCATACTATAACAACTTTATCATCTCAATTTTCCTAATAGTTAAACTGGCAATCACGGATTTGAAAACATTTTTAAGTAATACTCCACATGTCCTGAAAGAAAGTGTCACATATGACAAATGTACAACTCTCGTAAACCATGAACCATATTTATACTACGTATATTTTTAATATATTTGTTGATTTAAATAAATGTGTGATAGCAACTCTCTCTATGACTCTTTTATTATCTTTTGACAAATGATGTGAAATTATCTTCTATTCAAACAGGTCTTTTTTTGGGATAAACAGATACTAAGGTGCAGGGAAAAAGTAACCGGATATGACACTCCAATTCTGTTGGAAACAAATTACAAATTAAAAAAAAAACAGTAATGCTTTAGTCTTATGGTGCCAAAATATTTGTCGACAAACTCACCCATTCCTGGAATGACACGATAATCTTCGTTTAAGCGGGTTTCAATCTCAGATGTGACAATGTTTATTCTTGGGAAACGTTTGCAAACAACATGAACACCCGTAGGTGCAGATATGAGATTTAGGAAGATAATGTTGCATCCCGGGACACCCTTCTTTATCAGTAGAGAGCCTGAACTGCTGAATTCCCACTTCCCAGGATAGGATCCAGCAATAAGGCTCGCCTCTCTGCTATGTCATGTGTTAGTTTTCATAGACTAGATGCTGGCCATGATCACTTTCTCGGTGAATTAGAAATTTTCCAGTTTTTATACCCTTACAGCATGCCCGCAGAGCATTGTCCATACTCTCCCCACTTCTAATTACTGAGACGCCACATAATCTCTTACCAAAATCATGTACACAAAGCCTGTTGGGGTGATGACCTGCTTTTCTGTAAATGGCAGATGCCCCATACCAAGCTCAACTACCAAGCGGATCAACCAGTCAGCATAAAATACAAAATCATGTTTTGTCATTTGGGAATCACAAATAAGAGTATGCATGCCTCGTATCTGAAAAGTCGAAGGAATAACGTAGATGTTGGAGGTATTGGTCCTACCAAGGCCTCCCTTCCACTTTATTTGTTGAGGCTTGCACCCTATTGTTTTACTCCCACTTTGGTACCTTTACCTTGGTATTTTATCTGATCAATAACATACCTATTTGAGGGTTGACTTACCCACTTGGCTGGCCCCTCTGTGTTCTGTCCGCTGCATACTTCACTTGTCTTGGCCTATGCTTGTGACTTTCCTTTGTCTAAGATGCATGTGAGTGTCTTTTGTATTGACCTCACCCGTGACTTCCTTGGCAGCCTATTAATAGTCTTTGCTTCTTCCTTGTGAGCCTCAGCCTGCGCAGAAAGCATTCCAGAGAGAGCAGTGCTCCCTTCTTCTTCCTTTCCTTTGTGTGAGAGTGTAGAGAGGTCCTTTGTGGAGAGTAGAGAGTTGTGTGCTATAGCCTCCTCTTAGTGTGGTGTGTGAGAGTGTGTGTTGAAAGACCTGAGCCGGAGACGGATATACGATCCTTACAGTGGTATCAGAGCCGGAGTTCGCCGTCTGCCGCCGTCCGCCGCCGTCCGCCGCCGCCGTCGTTTGGAGCCCGCCGGAGGTCCCTGAAGCTGCCTGGTCGTTCGCACGAGCTTACTGACTTTCTCCTGGCCTCTGCTCGAGCTTGTCAGAAGCTCAAGCTCAAGCCGCCGAAGGTCCCTGAAGCTTCGCCTGACCTGCTCGCCGGAAGTCTCTGGAGATAGATTCGCTGACCTTGGAAGCTGATTCGTCGGAGATTGAAATCTGCCGCCCGCCATCGCCATCTGACGCCATCCACCGCCGTCTGAGGGTTCGTGCCGAGGACCGCTCGTTGCTGGAACCGAACTCGTCCACCTGGAAGAGTGTCGCCGGAATCCGTCACTGGGGCCGCCCGTTGCCTGGAAGATCGCCACCGTCTGGAACCCATCGCCGGAGATTGGTCATCGTTCTTCGCCTGGAACTCCGCCATCGAGGTCGCTACTCGATTGGTGCTGGTTGTTCGTGAGTCTGAAACGACGAAGAAGAGGGCCCTGTGCTACTGAACGCAGGGGGCCTGGACCTCTCTTCTGGTATTTTGTTTTTTGTTTTTGGGCTTCTGGAATGGACAGGTTTGCTGGGCTGTTCTAGGTGGGCTTTAGTTTGCTGCTGGACCAACTGGACTGCTGACTGGAGCTGCTTGGTTGCTGGGCTGAGCTTGGACCTGGACTGGAGTTGCTGACCTTGACTGGAGTTGTTGAACGCCAGTCAACCGCCGCCGGTCAACGCCGGTCAACGCCGGTCAACGCCGGTCAACGGCAGTCAACCCCCCAGAAAAAATCCCAATTTTTTTTAATTGGGTAGGTAAGGTCGAAACGCTCTCCTAGGGTTTCGCGAAGGTAAGTTTTCTGTAAACTTCCCATTTGTTACATTCCGGTTTTAATTTAATTTATTCCCCCCTCCCCGCGGGCCGCCGGTTGATTTAATCCCGGCCGCCAACCCCCCAGGTACGTTTTCTAAACTCACTCCTTTGTGGTAGTTTGTTTTAGTTGATTAATTAAATTGCTAAGTGTTATTTAATTTAATTGTTATGCGTAGGGGTGGTTTATTGGGTGGTAGGGGTAGAATTAATTAATTTTAAATTTCTGCCCGGAATTGTTTAATTGCCAAAATGTCCATTTTTTGCTATGTGTTGCATGCTGCCCGGGGTTATTAAAGTGAATACTTTATAACCCGGGTTGGATTATTTTCTGTCATTTCTATCTGTTTAGCTTTGTGTTCCTTTGTGGTTGATACCATGGCTGCAAATCAGTATGGTATGCTTCCATTTAATGGAAAAACAGATTTTGATATTTGGAAACAGAAAATTAAGTGTGTTTTAATACAGCAAAAAGTTTTCAGAGCTGTCACTGGTATTTTCCTAGAATCAGAAGATAAGGCTAAGCAAATTGAAATGAACGAAACTGCTTGTTCTACTATTTACTTGAATCTGTCTGATTCTGTGCTTAGGAAAGTAGGTATTCTTGAGTCCGCTAAGGAGTTGTGGGAGAAATTGGATAGTCTCTATACTGATACCTCTTTGCCCGGGAAGTTGTTCTTACTAGAGAAATTCTTTAGGTTTAGGCTTGACCTGACTAAGGATATAGATGAGAACCTGGATGTGTTTAATAAACTGATACAGAATATCAAACAGGCAGGTGATAAACACATAGATGATTACACTCCCATAGTATTACTTAATGCCATTCCCGACTCTTATAATGATGTTAAGTCCGCTATTAAGTACGGTAGGGATGAGATTTCATTAGACATTGTGGTGAATGGGTTAAGGAGTAAGGAATTAGACCTGAAGCATGCTAGGGGTAGTGCTAGTCAGTCCAGGGACTCCGGTGAGGCTATGTTTGTTAGGGGTAGATCTAAGGGTAGGTCTAAGAACCCTAAGCAAAATAGTCAGGGTAAGAACGCTAGTCAGCCTGGGAGGAAGAGGAGTAAATCTAGGAAGAGAGTGTGTTACAATTGTGGTAACACTGGCCATTTCATTAAGGATTGCCCCCACCCTAAGAAGACCGAGCATGCTAGTGTAGCTGTTGATAAATGTGACCTTGGTGATATTTTGATGGTTTGTGACCATGTTAACTCTGTGAGAAATTCCCTGTCTGAGCATGAATGGTTGATTGACTCTGGTTGTACCTATCACATGTCCCCCTTTAGAGATTTGTTTTCTACATATGAATTATGTGATAGTGGCTACGTTTCCTTAGCTGATAATAAGAGATGCAATGTGCTTGGTGTTGGTGATATATGTCTGAAATTTTCTTGTGGCTCTGTGTTTACCATTAAGAATGTGAGGCATGTCCCTGATTTGTGTCATAACTTGTTATCTGTTGCTGCTTTGGAGAGTAGTGGGTTACAGGGAAAATGGGGGAATGGTTGTATGAAAATCCTGAAAAACTCGCTTGTGTTGTTTAAAGCTGAGAAGGTGAATAACCTTTATGTGTGTCATGCTAAACCTTTTGCTGAATCTGTGAATGTTGTATGTTCTGATAAGACCTCTTTGTGGCATAATAGGCTAGGACATATGAGCAATAAGGGTTTAGATGTCATGCGTAGGGCTGGTTATTTTGGTAAGGACTCTGTGACTTCTGTGCCTTTCTGTGAATCATGTGTGTTGGGCAAGCAGCATAGAGTCAGTTTCCCTCCTTCCTCTTACCCTAATCTGTCTAAGTGTTCGTCTGTGCTTGAATATGTTCATGCTGATGTTTGGGGTCCTGCCAGTGTTCCTACCCACGGGGGTAGGAAATATTTCCTTTCTATTATTGATGACTTTTCTAGGAAGGTGTGGGTTTGCCTTTTAGAACACAAGTCTGATGTGTTTGTGAGGTTTAGGGAGTGGAAAACCCTAGTTGAAAACCAAACTGGCAGGAAGGTTAAAACCCTTAGGACCGATAATGGGTTAGAGTTCTGTAATAAGGAGATGGATAAGTTGTGTGTGGATTGTGGGATAAAAAGGCACAAAACTGTGCCTTATACTCCCCAACAGAATGGGATAGCAGAGAGAATGAATAGGTCTCTGTTGGATAAGGTTAGAAGCATGTTAGCTACCTCTGGTTTGTCTAAGAAATTCTGGGGTGAAGCAGTCACTACTGCTGCCTATTTGGTTAATAGGTCCCCGTCTGTCCCTCTTGGTGGTAAGTGTCCTGAAGCCGTCTTTACCGGTAAGCCTCTTGATCTGTCTAACCTTCGGGTGTTTGGTTGTGCAGCGTATGCACATCAACAGGGTGACAAGTTGGATCCTAGGTCTAAGAAGTGTGTCTTCCTAGGTTATCCAGAGGGGGTAAAGGGTTACAGGTTATGGGATAGGAACCAGGTAGGCTTTAAAGTGGTCCTTAGCAGAAATGTGGTGTTTAATGAAACTGATTTTCCTTGCTTGACCGAGTCTGTTTCTAATCTTGAGTCTAGGTCTGATAGTACTCCTAGTGAGGTGGAGTCTGTCCCTGTTGCTGCTAGTCCTTTATCTGTTGATCCTGTTATCTCTGATGATATTGTTATGCATGATTCTGATTCCTCTGAGCATGATAGTCCCACCACCTCGAGTGAGGTGGAGCATTTGCATGATACTGAGCATGATTTGCATGATATGGGTGCTGAATCTGATTTTCATGATAACAATAATTTGCATGAGTTGCATGTGGAGCCTAGTAGTGATAATTTGCATGATTATCAACTTGCTAGAGATAGGAGTAGAAGGGCTATCAGGAGAACTGCTGATAGTATGCCTGATTATGCTTTCATTGTGCATGATACTTCTATGTTTGCATTTTCTGTGTTTGAATCCCTAGAGCTGAATGAACCCAAGACCTACCGTGAAGCCTTAGGTTCCAAAGAGTCTCAGAAATGGATTAGTGCCATGAAAAGTGAGATGGACTCTTTGAGAGTGAACCAGACTTGGACCCTTGTACCTAGACCCCCCAACTGTTCGGTAGTTGAGTGTAAGTGGTTGTTTAAGGTTAAGGAAGAACCTAGTGATGTTAGGTTTAAGGCTAGGTTGGTTGCGAAGGGGTTTACTCAAAAAGAGGGGGTAGATTATGCAGAAATCTTTGCTCCTGTTGTTAAATTCACCACTATTCGTATGATGCTGGCTTTAGTTGCTCACCATGACTGGGAAATGAAACAGATGGATGTAACTACTGCATTTTTGCATGGTGAATTGGATAAAACAATTTATATGACCCAGCCTGAGGGCTTTGTGGATCCCAAGAGAAGTGAGCATGTCTGTTTGCTTAGGAAGGCTTTGTATGGCCTGAAGCAATCCCCTAGGCAGTGGAACATCAAATTTGATAAATGCATGATATCTTTGAAGTTCCAAAAATCTGTTTGTGATCATTGCCTGTATTTCAAAAATACTTCTTCTGTGCCTGTATTTTTGTTACTCTATGTGGATGACATGCTGATAATTAGTCCTTCTCTGAATGCTATTAAAGATCTGCAGAAATGTCTTTGTGCGAATTTTGCCATGAAAGACCTAGGTGATGCCAAGAGGATCCTAGGCATAAACATTGTTAGGGATAGGAGTAAGCGTACTCTTACTTTGAATCAGATTTCTTACATAGAAAAAGTTTTGAGTAAATTCAATATGTTATCTGCTTCTCCTGTTAATGTCCCTATGGCATCTCACTTTGTGTTAAGTAAGGACCAGTCTCCCAAGACTGCTCCTGAAATTGAGAAAATGAAATCTGTGCCTTATTCCAGCGCAATAGGGTCGGTGATGTATCTTATGGTTAGCACTAGACCTGATATTGCATATGCGGTTAGTTGCTTGAGTAGATATATGTCCAACCCTGGTTTGCCCCATTGGAATGCTCTTAAGTGGTTGCTTAGATATCTGATTTCTACTGTGAAGCATGGATTAATTTTCTCTAAATGTGCTAGTGGTATTGAATTGATTGGTTATGTTGATTCTAACTATGCAAATGATAGAGATAACAGGAAGTCGACCACTTCTTATGTTTTTACTTTGTGTGGCTCTTGCATTAGTTGGAAGTCCCAACTACAGCCTATTGTGGCCCTTTCTACCACTGAGTCCGAGTATGTTGCAGCCACAGAAGCGTTTAAGGAAGCCATCTGGCTCAAACGCCTTGTCTCCGAAATTGGGTTTCTCAAAAAGGGAGTTACCATTTTCTCGGATAGCCAATCGGCTATCCAACTTTGCAAAAATCCTGTATTTCATGATAGAACTAAGCATATTGATGTTAGGTTCCATTTCATACGTGATATTGTTGATGCAGGTGGAGTCAAGCTGTGCAAGATCCCGTCCGAGTTTAACCCCGCGGATATGGGTACCAAGTGTCTTTCTGCTGAGAAACACTTGTCCTGTAAACGCGTGTTAAACTTTGACTGTGGATAACTGTGGGTTGCCTAATAAAGTGTTTGCCCGTTGTGTCTGTTGATATTCCGGGTGACCCGGCGATGATGAGTCTTGTCACAACCTTGTATTGATACTCTACACCACCTAGGACCAATAAGGTGGAGAATGTTGGAGGTATTGGTCCTACCAAGGCCTCCCTTCCACTTTATTTGTTGAGGCTTGCACCCTATTGTTTTACTCCCACTTTGGTACCTTTACCTTGGTATTTTATCTGATCAATAACATACCTATTTGAGGGTTGACTTACCCACTTGGCTGGCCCCTCTGTGTTCTGTCCGCTGCATACTTCACTTGTCTTGGCCTATGCTTGTGACTTTCCTTTGTCTAAGATGCATGTGAGTGTCTTTTGTATTGACCTCACCCGTGACTTCCTTGGCAGCCTATTAATAGTCTTTGCTTCTTCCTTGTGAGCCTCAGCCTGCGCAGAAAGCATTCCAGAGAGAGCAGTGCTCCCTTCTTCTTCCTTTCCTTTGTGTGAGAGTGTAGAGAGGTCCTTTGTGGAGAGTAGAGAGTTGTGTGCTATAGCCTCCTCTTAGTGTGGTGTGTGAGAGTGTGTGTTGAAAGACCTGAGCCGGAGACGGATATACGATCCTTACAGTAGAGATTGGGATATATTTTACAAAGATCACGTTGACCAATATTTGTGCTTATGTGCTGGACAATTAAATCAATAGCAACGTGATAGTCTCCACCCCGGACAATTAAAACAATTATGTGCTGTACTTCTTTGTTGGAAGAATGCAATATCCCTCTCCTTTTCAACTGTCACTTCTTATTCTCCTTGCAAGGCGTACATCAGCATCTATATCTACAAATGTCTTCATATTCATCAGATTTCTGACGCGAGGGTCGTGAAAAATAAAAATCCCTTCTAGAATCATAACATCTGATGGATTTACCCTTCTCAATGCAATGTTCTTGAAAGTCTTTGGAGGTCCTCTCAGTAGCCTTCTAGAATCAATGTTTCTGTAGCACCTGCAGGTCCTCCCAGTAACAGTCGCAGGTCGTAGTAGTAGCGGTCAGAGCTCCTGGGAGTAGCAAGCGCAGGTCCACGAGTTGAATCACAGCTTTTGTATGTGCAGGTTTTTGGGTCGAAGCTCCAAGCGATTAATATTTTAGGATTTGAAAGCGCAGGTCATTTATTTTTTAAATACCGAGTAATAGCAACTAAAAAAAAATAGAAATAGTGCAAAGGTGGTTGGCTCAGTTACATTTTTGAATGATTGCAGTTTTGTCTTCCTCTTCTTCGTCTTCGTTTGTGATCTGTGTTTAACAATATAGTCGTAGAAGCTAGAAGAGTTGGATGCTTTAAACTATAGCGATGAACTGAGGATTGTATACCTAAACAGCAAGGTACTTGATTACTGCTTTAGTTTTGTTAGCTGAAGTCGTTTCGGAACAAATGAACTTCACTAAATCTAATCACCTGCATCATAATATGTCTTTTCAGGAGGGGCAAGAAAGAAGATGAACAGAAGTAAGCATATCTATTATTGTTCTTTATTTTTAACTAATTGGATGGATGCACAAGTTAGATCCTTAATAGTTTTTCCTAGGTAAATACCTTGAACAACTCACTTTACTACTTCCTTTAATTGTCATATGTTATGGTAACCTTACTTTTTATTTTGAATGAGATTATAACTGGTATTTGTATCCATCCTTTATGATGCTCATTTCTAATGTATTATATCCTCATTTCAAGTACCAGTGAGATTTTCAGCTTTTTTGGACCCATCAAACCGCACTCCAAAGTAAAGGAAGGAAAACAAGTTTCTGAAGTAATCTTTAGGTTCCGTTTTTCTTAATCATTTTAGCTGCCATGATGTTTAATGTATATCCTTAGGGGAATGAATTTGATATTTTGGCATGTCTTGATTAGGTGGTTGTTTCATAACAAACTGGGATTTGGCAGATTAAGCAAACTGCCCAATCACACCTGCAAAGTGCTACAAAAAATACACAGGAGTGTGAGTAACCCCCCCAGTAAATATATATAATAGTATTAGAATAAAAAAAACAATTGAAAACAGAGGTAGCAATGTTAAAAAACATTCAAGTAAAAATTTCCAGTCTTCAACACAACTAAGTCCTGCCTTAATTTTGTTTCTTTAAATCAATTAACCTGAACCTTAACGTCTTCGGTTGTAGGAGAGTATATAGGCAGTCAAACGAAACCAAGAAGTAAAGAAGGGGCATAAATAAATAAAATTAAAATGTCGTATGAATTTCACTACTTTGAAATTTGTAGAAAGTATTCAAGATTTGTACTATTCGTTTCTATTAAAGATGTATTCTGGAGGTGTAGGATTGATTTGATTCAGTTTAACATCAATTTAGTCCAGGGAAAAATTGGAATCGCCGCTAGTAAGATTTTGCATTTGTGTTTCAGGTTGGCGATTATTGACAAGTCCGGGCGAAAGGTCTTTTGAGAATGGTTGGTAATTATTCACAGAAAGGCTTTATTCTGTTATCACATATCATGTTTTGACCTCACTGTTGCACATATATACCCAAGAGAGCTGATTCAAAGTCTACTCTCTATTGAACCTGGAAATTAGGAGTTGCAGTCATATGTTGTCCAGATCACAAATCTTTGCCAGGGCTTACCTACACTAATTATGTACTACATCCAATAATCTATTCCCCCTCTCCCATGAAGCTATATAACAGTGCATATCTGTCCAGTGATTCTCAACATTTGCAAGTGATAGTTCAAAAATTTAATGGTTTTGGTCAGCCTTTCTGAGTTGGGTATGGCTGTTTCTGGCTTGGGTTTATGTTTCAAGCCAAAGTACAGGCACTATCAATTTTTCAAATTTGAGTAAATGTTTTCTATGTACCCGGTCTTTCTGAGCTCTTGAACCTCCATTAGAAATAAGAAAAGCGTATTCTAGTTAATCTCTAATGCAATCATCATTATGACCACTTTATCTTGTCGGTGGAAAGAAATGTATCGGGTCTTTAGTTAATTGTCTAAATTTAGCAGTAATGCAAAAGTAGTGGAAAAGCTTTGCTATGATGGAATAAGGGGATGGAATTCTAAAACTTCATAACTTTTTGTAGCTCAATCGGAAACATTATGAGATAAGAATGAGTTGGAATACCTGCTATATTTAACAACTAGTACAAGATTGATATTGGCGTCGTCAAATCAACATATATATCATATTGATTAACTTTTAGAGATCGGGTCTGTGCATGTGTGTCGTGTATTGAGGCAAATATCTAGTTTAATATGCTAAAAAAATTAAATACAACTATTCCCCACTTGAAGTCTTACTCTTAATGTCTATATTATGTTATACCTGTTAACTTATGTATTGTGAATATGAAACGTGCATCTATGAAGTATGTGTTGCCAGTTTTGCAGCTAAGAGGAACAAGTTGAATGTTATGAACAGAAAAAAAAATCAACGGGTGAACCGTTGCCCAGATAATCAACGATTTATAAATACCGTTGCCCAAAGCCAAAAGGCTAAACCAACTTTTATTCCAAGATGAGCCAGAATGAATCCTAACAAGGGTTTAAATACCCATCTACTAATAATTAAACTAGGAAACAAAATCCTAGAAATCCTAATCAACTCTAACAGAATAATAAAGATTCTAATCAACTCCAAATAGGAAAGAAATAATAGAAATCCTAATTAACTCCTAATAGGAAACAAATATTAGAAATCCTAATTAACTCCTAATAGGAAACAAATCAGGAAAATTAAAAAGAATAAATATTAATTAACCAGCCCGTAACAAGCCCACGGAGGTAGGCTCAAGCCCGTCCCGCCTTCGGTAAACCCATGGGGGCTTCTTCCCCTCTTCTTCCAAGCCCAGATTCTGCTTCATATCAATTTCATCCCTCTTCGAAAAAACCTTGTCCTCAAGGTTGAAATCCGGGAACCAGCTCATATTTGTCCCTGGGGGCTGCCCCGTATCTTGAGGAAAGCTGCCACTTGATCTTTTCAGCTTGTTCATGAAATACCCCAAGTAATAATCATCGGACAGTCCGGGAACCTGACTGGCCAATTGAACAAAAAGGTTATTATATTCCTCTACGGTTCCCAACTGTTTGACCCCGAACAGCCGTTTGAATCGACTTTCTTTGAACCGTGAATCAAATCGGGCCACCTGTGCTTGTGTAAATTTCTCCCAGGTCATGCTCGGTTTTTGTGCCTTCAACCAGGTCAACCCGTCCAAGGCAGCTCTTCCATGGCTACCGTAGCTGCTGTCACTTTCCTCTCAGGTAGGGTTTGATTAATTTCGAACTTTTGCTCAGCCCTAGCTATCCACCTAATCGGTTCTTTTCTGTCGAACATGGGCACCAACGTTGGAGGGGTGCTGCGCGGAGGTCTGTCGTTGTGTGTTGCCGCTACGATGGCGGCACCGATGACTATGTCTGATGGTGTCTCCGTCGTGATCGATGGCACAAGGGCCTTGGTCAGCGCCGCAAGGGATGCGGCGATCTCATCCAGCCGCCTGCCGTTTGCTTCCAGGGTTTGCTTCATTTCTGACAAATGTTCACTGATAGATCTCGTCATTGTGGCGGGACGGGATCCGGCAGGTCGGACCAATTGTTATGAACAGAAAAATAAAATCAACGGGGTAAACCGTTGCCCAGATAATCAACGATAAATAAATACCGTTGCCCAAAGCCAAAAGGCTAAACCAACTTTTATTCCAAGATGAGCCAGAATGAATCCTAACAAGGGTTTAAATACCCATCTACTAATAATTAAACTAGGAAACAAAATCCTAAAAATCCTAATCAACTCTAACAGAATAATAAAGATTCTAATCAACTCCAAACAGGAAAGAAATAATAGAAATCCTAATTAACTCCTAATAGGAAACAAATATTAGAAATCCTAATTAACTCCTAATAGGAAACAAATCAGGAAAATTAAAAAGAATAAATATTAATTAACCAGCCCGTAACCAGCCCACGGAGGTAGGCTCAAGCCCGTCCCGCCTTCGGTAAACCCACGGGGGCTTCTTCCCCTCTTCTTCCAAACCCAGATTCTGCTCCATATCATTGAACACAATAATTCACCACTTCAGCAAGCTCAATAGTGCATGATTAATTTACCCTTTGTGGTTTCACTGCTCATTAACTGATCTAGATTTTAGTATGCTATTCTTTGTTGCATCTGCTCATTTTATCAGCTAGTATATTTCTTTCCTTTTACTAATATAATTGGTTGTACTTGTAATTCCTGTCAACAAGTATATTCCCTTTTTAGTAAAACCATTTGTGATTCTTTACTATGGTGGACTCCAGATTCCAGATTTCAACTATCCTAGAGATGGAGAAGCTGTGCAACTCATTCCTTCAATACCAACTACCCTAGAGAAGGAGAAGCTGTATATTTATTTATTTCATTCGTTTATGAAACAAACATTTTACGTGTAACATGCACAACCTTATAATACAGCCTTACAGGTAGTTTAGTTAGATTTTCCCTTCTAGCACCCTCAAATTTGACTTTGTAGAACTTTATGTAACCGAGTCATACACGTATCACAGAACTTAATTCCACTGTTGGTCATATGAATTTTATGTCAATTTTACATTTAGTTTACTTCTTTCACTTTCACTATTTGTGGTCCTCCAGTCCATTTTTTCTGATGCTTTTTTGGCTATTTAATCCCAGAAATATTTTTTGAGTTGGATTGAGAAACTTAGTTAATTTCTATGTATACCCGGATACCCCCTTTAAAGGTCTTGATTGAATGCACTCACTTCTGTTGGCGTACTTGAAATGATGGCCTTGTTGATTTTGGCAAACCAGTTAACTCAACCAAATCCAACAACAATTAACTTAGATTCTTAGAACTTATATGCGTAATGAAAAACTAACTTCTTACTAATGTGGAGAGAACATTTGATTTGATGAAATTGTAAATCTATTAAATATCATCACCTCTTGAGTTTTAACAGCGGATGTTGCGGATTGGATGGCTAAGAGCATCTCCAATGCTACAATGTGCACGGTGCACATGTGTCATGAGAGAGATAGACACAAAAAAATGAATTTATGACATTTCTCTCTCATTCTTTCCACGATTTTATGTGTTTTTGGTAAGTTTTCCTCTACAATGTCAAACACAATATCTACATGTAGACATTGTGTTTGACATTGTGAAGAAAAACTTATCAAAATGATACAAAATCCTTCAAATAAGGAGAAAGATATTCCATTTATTATTTTTTAATTGGCTATCTCTGATGTCACGTATGCACCGTTCACGTTTTAGCATTGGAGATGCTCTAAGAAAGCAGTTTTAACTTCTAAGATTGATCTGGACAGTTGGGGAAACCATGTGTATATTAACTTCCTAAAATATATAGCAATCGTTTAAAAAACTTTAGAAAATCTTTACAAAATACTACGGAGTATCTTTTAAACTTTTAACTTTTTATGCCTTTCCTTTTTACATAAGTATAGATTATTAATATTCCTTGCCTTTAAAGGAGCACACATGTACACATGCATACTCGTGTTCATAAAATAAAAAGGTAGATTTTATGGTATCCATAAGGTATCATACCTTTGTCCACGTGGATCAATCAAAATGATGCAATTGAATCATTTAAATCTAAATTAAAAAGGATATAATGATTTGGACCAATCAAATGCATGGTAGGTACGGTACCCCATTTTTTTAATGAGTACTTTTAATGAGTACCGGAGTTGTCACCTAAAAGAAAATACAACAATTGTGTATCAAGATTCGAGTCTCACAAGAAACTTCTCGCGGGTAAGTAGAACTATGTAGAATTGTAGAAAAAATCGATCAAGAAAGAAAATTGTAAATGCAATGATGTTAAAAAAATTGAAGAGTTCTTGTGATAATCAAACTTTTTGGCTCGTCGGCTTTATCACTCAAATTTTTATTAAATACATAAAATTTGATCAGGGCCAGTCATGTCTATTTTCGGACCAATGGACGAGATAATATTTTGGGCTTATGTTCAAGAAAAATAATAAACTATATTTATTTTAAAAAAATAATTATAATATAATTATATAATGAAGGTCATTAAATAAAAACAAAACTCATTTTATTATTATTATTATTTTAATTAAATATTTGATAAAAAGTAACAACACATGTATCACATAAAAAGAAAAACATTACTTAAAAATCTTTCTCGCAGAACATTGTGAAGAAAAATCATCAATAATTGCTTCATAATCAACTTTTTCAAATATGTGATGTTCAATGCTTATAATTGCTAACTCGTTGAGCCTTTCTGGAGACATAGTTGATCGCAGATAATTAATCAAAATCTTCAACTTTGAAAAACATTACTTAAAAACGTTTCTTACAGAATTTTCAAGATTCAATTTCTTAACAAAAACAAAACTTTCTATTGACCCCTTTTAACTTAACTCCGTCTTTTCTAATCTTCTTCTCTTTCTCTCTTTATCCCAACATGATTCACTCATTTTATCAAGAATAATTTATTGATCACGGATGAATTGTTTGAAACCTTGAATGAAAAAGTTTTTTGGTCACCCATCGCCGTTTGGACTCCTCAATTGATCGGCTTCAATTCTTAACAAATAACTGAGACACTCACCGCTTTGCAACGTTCTTTACTCTTGTTGATATTAAAATTTGAAAACAACAAATCAATTTGTATGAGCTTTATGAATTGGGAGTTTTGGACTTGGAAGGCTTAACATAACTTAATAATTTTGTAATTGAAAGGATTATAAAAACTAGAGATCCGAAGTGAATTAAGAGAGGCGTGCCACTTTACATTTATTTTAAAAATTAAATCTTGAGCCAATTAATTGAGCTTAAAAATTTTAAAAAAAAAAAGCCTACTCACACTACCCTCATACAAAGAAATATTTTGGGCCTATTTTTCCCCTATTTTCTTGAGCCTAGGGCGATTGCCCCTGTTGCATTCCCTTAGGGCTGCCCCTCTGCATTTGATTACGCAAGATAAATGAGGTTGAGTAGCACAACTAGAAAAATACCCATTAAAAAGGCAAAAAAAAAATATAAGGGTTTGCAAGTACAAATAAATTCTTTTGATGAATTTTTATGCAAATACTTAAACACATAAAGTATAGATATTGTTTAAATCTTGGGATAGATGAGACCTAATAAACAATCTCAAGCTACACCCGGCAAATTATGAGGTACACCCGGGATTAGTGATAACTTTGAGGATAATAAATAGGCCGAATTTTTTTTTTCTTTTTTCCCGCCTCCTCCTGAGTTGTGCTGATCGTGAGTGGGCTAATACGTAGTAGTTGCTATTGAATTGTTCCTACGTTTCTCCTTTATTTTGTTTGTTTTTTGTTTTGTTTTTAGCAACCTTCTACATTATTAATGTTATATATTCGATTATTATGAAATTGTATAATATAAAATATTATTAAATGTCCAAGTCCCAACTTAAGTTTTTTTATTTATGTATTATAAAATATTTTAGGTATTAATATTTTATTTTTCTATTTTTAATTTAAAATAAATATTATTAGTTTAATAAATATTGTGTATTAATCACTAAATGAGTTTCACATTATACTAAAATGAGTAGCGTAAAAATAAATATGCATGGGTAAAACATTTAAAAAAGAATTCAATTCTATTTGTAATTCGAGAATAAAAGACTATAAATTCTTTTAATATAAATTACTATATTTGTCATTATATGTGCACAAATGAACATTTGAACACATTAGAGAATTCAAATGAGCTTTTGAATTTCTCAATCTCATTTGTAACTTACGTATGTTCATCTGGTACTGATTTACTCATTTTAAAATGTCATATTAATTTATATTCTAAAAGTATCATACTCCTATTAGATTCGCATAAGAGTTAGATTATATAAAGTGAAGCAAAGATTACTCAATTGCATGTTTCTGATACTCAATAGAGAAGGTTTGATGTTCAATGAAAATGACTTGATGCTCAACTAACAAAGCTTATGATTTTCATATCATTGCTCATTTGGTAAGTAATGTATGCTCATTTTGTACTGGTGTTGTGCTCATTTTAAAATGTTATATCAATGCATATTTCAAAAGTATCATATTAATTAAATTAGATTCATGTAGGAGTTGATTATAGATATAAGAGCACAAACCATGATACTCAATTGCATGTTTTCGATACTCAATAAAAGAGGTTTAAATCTCAATAAAAATGTCTTGAAGTTCAACTAAAAAACTTATGATTTTCATATCAATACTCATTTTGTAAGTTACGTATGCTCATATGGTACTCATATTATGCTCATTTTTAAAATGTCATATCCATGCAAATTTTAAAAATTTCATATAATATTACATTCGCTTATTGAAGTTCATAGAATTTGATTATAGATATTATTTAATAAGTTTTTATAAAAAAAGTGAATTAGAAGATATGAATCAGAGATCACAATGCTCATTGTTAGGTTCCTAATACTCAACAAAATAAGTCGGATGCTAATTAAAAGTCTTTTAATGCTCAAAAAATAAGACGGATGCACATTAATGCTCATTTAATAGAAACCGTGATTTTTATCTCAATAGACAAGTTTTGATGCTCAATGGAAATGTCGTTATGTCAAACTAACAAATCTTACGATTTTCATATCAATGAAAATTTTGTAAGTTACATATGCTCATTTGATAATGATGTTGTGCTCATTTTAAAATGTCATATCAATGCATATTTCAAAAGTATCATATTACATTAAATTCATAGGAGTGTATTATAGACATAGTTTAATAAGTTTTTATAAAAGAAAAAATAAGAAAAAAAATTGAATTAATCAGAAGATATGAAGCAAAGATTGTGATACTCATTGTTAGCCTCCTAATACTCAATAAAATAAGTCAGATGCTCACTAAAAGTACATTATTGCTCATTTAGCGGAAGCTGTGACTTTTCGCTTAAATTACAATAATACCACCAAAAAAATTTGGCCTATATTTTGTATTTTGTGGCAAAAAAAATTGGCCTATAAAAAAATTAGAGCGAAAAGAGTACTATATTTCAGAAATACACTTATAAAGTCACCAAACTGTCTCTAAAAGTACCATTTTTATTTTTATTTTTGAAGAGTAGGCTTCATGCGATGAGAGTAGACTCTTCGGAGTCTTGTTGAATTGGAACACGACATCAAACACATGAGATCTTGGCCCAGGGTGTCTCCGGGTATTGGCAGGTTGACATGGCCAGGCGAGTTAGCCATCAGCTCATGACTAGCCCCAATCAGAATTTCAGTGTGGAATGAACCCCATTTTAGATTCTACTGCGTCTCACATGTCTTCAACCGCCAAGTCTTTCCGTTCCCACATGGCTTTGCCTGGCCGAAGATGGTAATGGGTTTATCAGTTATCTCCGTCAATTTATTATTAGCCCACAACCACATGACCTATTTTGTTGCTGTTAAATTCTTCCAGAATTATCATCTTTCTTTTTATTATCCAGAATTACGGTCCTCAGATACAGTAATTTTCAATTTCCTTTTCATCCAGTGGAGAATTAATATGGGGGAGGTAGTAAAATCTTTCATTGCCCGGAAATCAGGAAATGCAGAATGCCTACTACTGCTAGGATTCTTACTCCCTTTTCTCTTCGACTTATAAAGACTGGATCTTTCTCCTATTTGACACATTCTCCTCTGTTAGCGACTGATCACATCCGCTTGGCTTCCCGGAAGTCAAAGAGACCGGAAGTGAGGTCGCAAGCGGTGTCCTCAACCATGTTCTCGTCTAATCTGGTCGCCGGAGATCTAATCGCCTTTGTGATGTCCGGCGGCGTCGCCTTCTCCTGTCTCCGGTTCTGGGAGGAGATTGCTAAAAGAGGAATTTTTGAACAGGTGGGTGGTTTTTGAACCCTTACATTCTTGGAAATAAATACCCATGTTTTTCACATTAAGGATCACTTTTTGATGATTGCAGCTGTTTGTTGTGCTCAGTTCAGTTTTCTTGAGTCTGGATTGAAATGAAGTATTCATGTTTATGTAGTGTAGTTGACTTTCTTCTTGTTATGCTTTCAAAGTGGTAGACACCATGATTGTAAGATTGTTTTTTTCTAAAGTTAATTTTCCAGCTCATTACTACTGGAAAGCTTAACGAATTGGTATTAGATTTCTTTTTGGGTTGTGATTCCAAAAATGTCTTCTTTCAGAATCTAAACAGAAAGTTTGTTCATATTACCATGGGTCATGTTTTCATGCTTTGCTGGCCAATGTTCAGGTAATCTCCCTAAAGTTGGGAAGTAATTTTTTTATCTAATTATTTATTTATTTGGTTGTTCATTCTGGTAATATTAAGCTACAAATGCTTGCATTTATATGAATATATTGATAGTCCTGGTCATCAAGGGGCACTCTTAGCAGCTCTTATTCCCGGAATCAACATAGTTAAAGTGCTTTTATTGGGACTTGGAATATTGAAGGATGATGCAACTATCAAGTCTATGAGCAGATTTGGAGACTACAGGTTTAAACAATTCAATATCAGGACAGAATATTTGAGCTGATTTTGGAATATTGAAAGACTAAAGTATCCCCCTTTTGTGCAAGTGTTTCTTGACTTTTCTTTTGCCCCAATATAGGGAACTTCTGAAGGGGCCTTTATACTATGCTCTTACCATCACTTTGGCTTGTGCTGTCTTCTGGAGGACTTCTCCCGTCGCAATTGCTTTGATATGCAACCTTTGTGCCGGTGATGGTAATAAAATTACCCTTCAAAATTCTTATTTTCAACAGAAGCCACTGCTTAGTGTTTATAGTGTCTATTTGGTAGGACAGTTTTACTACTTATCAAGCTGTAGATTTTCTAAGAAGCACATACTTATTTCATTTGTGCTAACTAAAAGCAAATGCCACTTCTCTCTTTTTCTATTCAGATGCAATGTTTTTTAATTTACTCTATAAACAACTCCGTGTGTGCTAAATATTCTTATTCGGCCTTCAGCCACTATTTAAGTAACCGGTTATTTTTTGCCAAAGTTTACCTAACCAAACAGGATGTAGATTTGAATGTTAAATACGAAGAAACCTTGAGGAAATAGAATCGCACGTGTTCCTTCAGGTATGGCTGACATTGTAGGCAGGAGGATCAAAAGTCGCAAGCTTCCCTACAACAGAAACAAATCCATTGCTGGCAGCATTGCAATGGCAGCTTCTGGTTTCCTATCATCCATTGGGTAACTTGTGCTTGGTCTTAGAACTCCGAAAGCTTAATCATGAAGGCAAATTGCTTAGTACGTATTTATTTCTAACAGATATATGCAATACTTCTCTTCGTTCGGGTATCTTCAGAAGACGTCCCACATGGTGATCGGTTTCTTGATCGTCTCTATTGCTTCGGCTTTGGTTGAATCGCACCCTCTAAGCACTGAGCTTGATGACAACCTTACTGTGCCTCTAACCTCTGTATTATTGGGCAGTTTCGTATTCTGATGCGGGACACTCCCAAAGCTTTCGGCGGGTACTGTAAACCTTGGTGACCTTCAAGGTTTTAAAGAAAAGGTCTTTGGAAGTATTTCATGAAGATGGCTTTTCGGCAAGTTATGTGGAAGAAAGACTTCACCTTTTTCCTATACGGATTCCTGTAATTAGTCTGTACCAAAACAAAGAAACCCAATATATCCCACTTGGAAGATGTTTGGGTAATTTGTCTACGTTGTACGTAGTACTCCGTATTTAATAAAATCCTCTTCTCCATTTACGAGAATGTGGAAACTATTTTTATATTGATTTGTCACTCTAAAGCTCTGGATGTCCAACATGAAAAAATCATTTTCAGATTACATTCTTATACTACTGAAAACCATGGGGACATTGCAAATACCTGAAAATGTGTTAACATCATTTGAGTAGTAAAACAGCTAGCTAGTTTAGCTAAAGTGAAACAATAAAAACCCCCAACCATGCTGTGAAAACCATATATGTCTGCTAGTAATTCATCACAAGAGATGATTTCTCTGAACACAGTAGGTGCCATTTAATGTATGGTTTGATAGGTTAATTAGTCAAATCATATCAATCGGTTTCTTTAATTCCCTTCAACATCTGATTCGTATTTGCTGACTTTGATTAAATACTTATAGTTGATTAATCGTGGTTATGTTAAATATAACAAAATAAACCCTAAAACCCTTCTCGATCAATGAGAAGAATCACACTCACTGGCGTTTCTTGGATGATTAAAGCAATTTTTTGGGGAAACGTATACCAAAGTCTTCTCGGGATAACAAAGTTAAAAGACTTTTGTACACTTACCTAGAACACTACTAGCATAGACTCAATATGATAATATGATTTTGTATTATACAATGAAATGTACAAAAGAAGTACGTTGTATAAAAGTAAACACCTAGCTCACTTAATCATTATTTATATATGAGACTATTTCACTCTACCTCACTCAGTTACACTTATGAGAAGCCTTCTTGAATTATTTCTTCTCACTCCAAGGAACCTCTTCAATCATCTCATCACTAGAGATCCTTTGGTTCTCTTCTAATCTTCTATCACAAGAGGACTCTCACTCCTCACTTTAATTCTCACAATGTTTAGAGTTCTACTCAAGTTTGATTTAATAATGAAACTCGCACCTCTAATTAGATAACTCCACATTTCTTTAAAATGTCCCAGAAACCTCCACACACTTTCACACGGTTCTAAAATATTTTACACGTATCAAAGAAAATTCCAAATGTTCTAGATTAGTACTCCATAGTCCATACTCTTCTACACAGTTCTAGGCAATTTTATCCCTTTGTAAAAAGTTTCAAAATGGTCTAGAGCATTCCATTCTAAAGGATAATGTAAAGGTGAGCGAGAACATATGAGAATAATTTGACAAATCCAACCGCCTATCCTATTTTTTTTACATAATATAAAGATGTTAAATAGCCCATCTATATTCTCTTACAATAACATAACTTTTTTTAAATGTTCTAATTTGGATTTCTTCAACTTGGAATCATATAAAGACAAGACTAGACTTAAAAAACTAGAGACCCAATCAATTAGACTTAAATACACGGAGTATGAGATAAATTAGATTTAAACACCAAGCTAGATTGGAAAATATCGATCTATTTGAAATCATTCTTACTTAAAAGTTAGATTGGATAGTGAAATACTGAAATAGCTAGGGCGTATACATCAAACCTCAAAGATACTTATGAGATTGACTTCCCGCACGGGTAGCTCAGCTGGTCGAGTGGTGGGAAAATTGGAACTATGACCAAGGTTCGAATCCCCGCAGCGACCGGGTGGAGGTCACAGAACCTGAAATAAGGCTGGGCCTCTGGTGCGCACGGGGTAAAGGCCTACTGCCACTCTGCTGACTGAGTCACCGTGACTTACATCCTCCCATGTGCTCTGTCGGGTCGGGGCGTGGGGGGCGCTTGGGGTTGGCGATTCAACCTTTTGGAACTACTTATGAGATTGACTTTTCTACTGACAAGAGCGTCTCCATTCATTGGCACATCAAATTCTCAAATAACATCAAAGCTCATCAACTCTCCCAATTACTTTCAACCATGATCTCTACGGAGTATTTACTTAATCTTTCATAAAGCTCTTTGCTATTTTCAAGGAGGTGCTTTAGTCCTTACACACAATTAAAAAAAACATGGTTGCATTAAGTGTGTTTATAGGAAATTGGGAATAACCTTAAAATAAATAAGGATTTGATATTAGATACCATATTATTTTTTCTAAAACACTTTCAAAAAAAATCTCATCACTTCAACTATTATCTCTGAAAAGATGTTCTACATCATCAAAATGATTTTCAAATAAACTTATGAATGAAGCTGCCATAACATAAAGACAATTGGCATTTTGGTTACATAAAATTTATTGTTCAAGTAGTAACATGACGCTAGGCACACTTTTTACAATTTTAGTTTAAACTCAGCAGAGTACGGGTGTTGACAGCAATGAAGGTATTAAGTTTTTTTTTTAATGAAAATGGTCCAACTTTGTTTAATTAAACAATCATTGGACAATGAGTTGAATTACATTCCACACTAACATCAAAATAGTTGTTACCCACATAAAAAAGAATTGCCCTAACCAATTTGGGATGCACGATTCACTATTTCTTTACAATATTGGACAATAAAATTTAATATCTAACCTCAAAAAAAAAAATTGTCTAATATCCTTGACCATGATATCAAACTATCAAAGTAGGTAAATTATACCGTGGGATCGGTACACCATGTGCATGGTGTACCGATCCCAAAACTACGTAGTTTTATCCATTGAAAAAGCACGCAACCGCCCTTTTGTTCATTAAAGTCAAATCGGATGCCGCTGATAGACAACTAACGTAAGATTAAAAAAAGGTGACAACTTCGGTACCCATTTAAAAAATGGGGTACCGTACCTACCATGCATTTGATTGGTCCAAATCATTAAATTCCTTTTAACTTAGATTTAATTAATTCAACTGCATGATTCTGATTGGTCCATATGGACAAAAGTACGGTACCTAATGGGTACCGTAGAATCTACCTTAAAAAAAGACTGCGTAATTGATTAAACTAGCCAAAAGATCGAATCAGGGCCGGTCCTGATATAGGGGCAGGATGGGCGGCTGCCCAGGGCCCACCAGAAAGAGGGGCCCACAAATCATTTAGTAATAGTATGTATATTGAGTTATGTTCACCTAAGACACGCTTGATCGGGAATTATGTACGGTCAAACCCATTTGAGGTGCTTTGAAATGAAACTGTTTCATGAAAGTTTGTTAGCATGTTTTTCATTAAGTGCCCACATAATTTGAGCTTAAAATTCCATCATGAAGTCCGTTAAATAAAATATTGAAAAACAGTGCTCTTTATATTTGTTTAAAAAGCGCAATGTTTTTTTATAATTTATTTACCTAACTTCCCAATTGAATTCAAAACTGAAATTTTGTGCAAATAATCTAATCTTTGTGAAGAACATGCTAACAAAATTTTATCAAAAAAATCGACCAGATCATTTTGTCAGACGCTTCTGACCAGATCATTTTCTTATACTTTAACACTCCGTCAAAGATACCCCCCAACCCTCATATCCATAGAGTGAGCCACAACAGCACAGCTACGCATGAGATACAATTGAATGACTTTCAACTTTCCTCACAGAAGCCGAAAATTAAAGATGATATTATCATCGACAATTTTCCTTTAAGAATGCCTAAAAATTTGTTTTTGTATGACTTATGATACCAAGTAGTTTTATTAACAAAAACATTTAGTTGTGTAACGAATTTTATTTTTGATAATGAAACTTTTGTAATATATTCTTACAACATACTACTTATATAATTAGGGGCCTATTTTTGTATTTTGCCCCGGGCCTATAAATTGTCAGAACCGGCTCTGGATCGAATTGAAGCATACAATAGCCCTACTGCAAATTATAAAGACGCACAATAAACATCTAAATTGACATTTAGATACATGCTAACGTATGTTCTCATCCAATATCCAAAGGAAGGGATTTAATTAATATCGATCCATTATATATATACACCAGAGTGTAAGCATGATTTCAAGAAGTTTCTGAGATTTTCTTTACACATCAATATCATATCATCTGGAATTGGTAATCAACCTAAGTGAACAATTACTATTCCGATCCTTACATCTGAAAATACATGTAGTTACATTAGGATTTGCCTAAAGTTACATGTCTATTAGCGTAAGTTACATGTCAACTTTCCTCAACAAGTTACATCATACTTTCACGTGATTTACACTTTATAGTTACATTGCAATATAATGCGAGTTACACAACACAATAAATCAATGATATTCAAAGAATTTTTTTTTATAAAAAAATCTTCTTATTAAAAAACATTTTTAATGGCTCTAATATTAAAAACAAAACATATTCACTATTTATGTAAAATAATTGGATAATTAGACTCAATTTTTTCATTAAACATGAGTTACATTTCAGGGCACAAGTTACATTTGTTGTTAACTGAAGTTACATTTGTAGCAACACGAATTACATCTATTTATGCACAAGTTACATCAGTCATGCTACTGAGATGAAAATTAAAAAAACAGTTACTGTACACGCGTGTACTGTTCATGCGTGTACTGTTCACGCGATTTTTTTTAAATAATTGGACGAAACTACGTCATTTTGGATGTGGTAGCACGAAGCTCACCGTGGGGTGATACCACGGTATACGGACTGATCAAAGTATGATTTCTTGCCACGTAATCACCTCCCATCGAGAATATTAACCATCACTACAAGAGTACAGAATTTAGATTTAGATAATATCTCATTATATTTCGTGTACGAGTACTCCAAAACGTATTTATGACAGTGACAATGTATAATTCGGATACAGACAATTCCAGGGCACGAGTAATTTCATTTCATTCTTAAAATGAGGACAGTTGTATAATTATAGTTTAAACGAAGTACGGGTATATTTTATTGACCGAATACGGTCCACAACAGGCACAACGGATATATCACATGTATAATGCTACTACCGTACTAATTGTACGTTTCAAACATCATCAACATGATTAATCCATTGTAATTATTCGCACTGCACTATCATACTATACACAAGTAATTAAATAAGGTAGGGCCGCCAACCCCTAACCCCAACTTTAGTCCCAATATATGACACATTCAAAGGTTTATCATACAGAAATTCTATCATCTTTGAAATTTTTGGTCATCAATGTTCAAATTTTGATCAATTATATACTTTTATAGAAAAATATATATAATGTAAAAAATAATATGAAAAGATTTTTTGCTTAAAGTATTTTCATTGAAGTATAAAATTTGTAATTTTTAAAATATTATACTAATCAAAGTCGTGGTGCAAACTTTATATTACCACCATTAACATGAAAAGTAAAAAATGACAAAATTTTAAGAGACAGATAAAACATATGTCAATGCGTCTAGTACGTCCAATACACCTAAACTTTGTTTAGACCATTGTTTCGAATAAGAGTAAAAGATGCACGCACAAAATTCAAAAAACAAAAATTAAGTATGTTTTCTTTATGGAAAGTCCTACTAAGAAAATAAAATTATTGTGATGCTTCAAAAAAATAGGAATAAATGAGTACTGCTTGAGAAGAAAACAATGACACTCATATTTGATCTAGAAAAATGTTCAATCTTTAACTTCAAAGTGAATTTACTCAATATGACTTATCATAAGTATTACGTATTGATTTTGTCTAGCTTGACTTTTTCGAATACGGAGTAAATGGAGTATAATGTTTCAAGTGTGTTTAAGTTGTACATGCAGGGGCGGAGTCAAGGCATTGGGCGGAACTCGATCGATTCAAAGAATATGGGTTGTGTCGGGGTCAGGGTTGACCCTTCCCTAGCTATGCCCCTATGTACATGTCTGTCCTAATAAAATTTCCGGATACACCAATACCCAGCGCATACATGAAACAAATGGTTATAAATACAACCATCATTCTACACACAACCAACACACATGCATTTTTCCTTCTTTTTTTTTTAGTTATTGAACTATATATATGTACCATTATATTCACCCAATTCAACCCATCCCAATCAACATGAACACCAACATGGCGCCTATGATAGCTGATGACTTGTGTTTGTGCTCCAATTTTGTCTGCAAGAATCCTGATCATGAACAGAAGGGAGAAAGCCTACCTCTTCAAGATGGAAACAACAAAGACAATACTAATAATGGTGAAAAAGGAAGTACCACTACTACTGCTGCAATTATTCCATCTTCTGGTCGCCTCACACTTGAGCAACTGATCATCCAGTATGAATGCATGCATGGTGATCATTCTTTGGATTCTGCAAAGATAAGAAAGTACGTACTCCTTCCTTCATACTCAAATTTCATCTTTATTTTTATCTCTTAGATTGTTCTTTTTTTTTTTTTGCAAGATTGGATTATTCTTTTAGTATCCATTTATGCTTAAATAATCATCACATAAATGCTCGTTTCGTAAAAATTGATACAATCTAATTTTATTTCTAGTATACACGTACAAAATCCCCCCTTTGTTATATTCCATTTATGTTTTGGAGTGTGTTAATTTTTTGAGAACTTGTAGTGTTTGTAAATTGTAATCATATCGATCTCTCCATTATATTATTGCCTAACTTGAATTTTTGTAATCCTTAATTTACTTGAGAAAATTGTAAATTTAGTTCCTTAACTTTTGTTTTTATCCGCTTTTAGTCCCATAACCTTACTCACGTATGTAGTGCAGATTTGATCTTGTAACTAATTAATTTAACAATGTTAAGGACTTTGACACCGGATGACCGGTGATGTCTTTTTTCATACTAGTATGTATTTTACCAGAATGTATACCTCTTGATAGAATAGGTCTTAAATTAATTAATTTTATTAATAATTATATATAAGGTTTTTTTACAAGAATATTACTAAAATAAAATTATTTATTTACATAAATATGACTATTCATTACTACAACATAGTGTTGTGATAACTTAAGTTCAAAACTTGAACATGAATTACTATGATTTCATTACATATTACTCTAGTAATTAATCATATTTTTGTAAATCATCTTTATTTTGATCATATTTATGTAATTATTTCTTATATATAAGACCAGGTCTGTAAATTGAGTAAAGTTGAAGAGCTAACAACATGCCCAACTAGACTAAAACAAAACATCTCATATATATTCTTACTTTTATTTTTATCATCATAGAGAAATTGCACAAATATGATTGCTCATATTTAGATCTCAAAGTATGACTTATTTGATCATATTAAAAGTATAAAATTTCCCTAATTAGGAGTGAAAGTCATATTTTAGTCATATTTAAGGAATTTTCTCTTACTAATATATATTGATGTTTAGAACCTCGTGAAAAGCCTATAGAATGGCTTCAATATATAAAAACATTGTGCAACATCACACGTACTGCACAATTTGAATAAAATTGATTGATTAATCTTGTGTCATTGAACTAAAAAGACACATGAAATTGTATAGAAAGAGTAATTCATATAGGCTATATTAGTATTTTTTTATCATTAGTAAGTGAAAACAACAAATAACAAGCTAAATATGAATTGAATTATGGTTGGTTAATGAGCTCATACGTACGTGTTTTACTATGCATGCAGGATCATAGCCAATCGGCTATCTGCGCAAAGATGCAGAAATAAAAAGGTTCAGCACCTTCGGGAAATGGAAAAGAAGGCGAACGATCTTCAGGTATATATTAGCAGTAACAAATACGGAGTAACAATTTCTAATACATCCCTTTTTTTTTAATTTTTTTTGAAAGTTTATCTCAAACTGGCTACAGCATTAATACGTAGAATGAAATAAGTCAAATTTAAAACCTACATCAATACATTAATTAAAAGGGTAGTATAACAGGAATCATGAAGGGCAAGCGCCTCATTGGTAGAAATTGCACGTTCAAGTAGAGGTTTCTAGTCTGGCTCTCTTTTTTTTGGTACATCGGAAAGGATCTAGTGCCCAACTACATTTAAAAAGTCATATTTTTATAAGTATCATTTATTTTAATCATAAAATTGTAATTATTTTAAGGAATACTAATTTTATTAATATTGTGTTGTATTTGGAATAATTTGATTATAATGCTTTTTAGGAAGCAAACATCAATTTGCTTCATACTTGGAATAATTTGATTATACACTGCTCCGTATAAGCATGCTTCGTAGGAAGCAATTAAGCAAACATCATTTTCCCACATTCCCACACCGGCCAAGAAGCAAATTCCTTAGTACAAATAAGCCTCCTCTCGCTCCAGCCGTATACGAAGCGCCAGTTATGCGTAGGCCTGCCTTTGTTCTTTACGCATCTCAGAACACGTTATAACTATACTAAGAATACTATTTTTTGGGGGTCTAAATTTTTTGGGGGTCTAAATTTTTTGGGCCCTGTGCGTTTGGGCTGCCAAGCAATGCCCCGGGCGGGCCCTGGATAAAATAATGAATGTAAAAAAAATGGGGAAAAAAATGGGGAAAATGGTTGGATAGGTTCTCGAATTTATATAGAAATGCTAAAGGTACCCCAATTTGTATCCTATTTTGTACCCCCACCCTATTTTTGTGGCTCACAAAAGCACCTCATTAAAGTGGGGACAATTCATTTATTGAGTTGGGCTTTTGTGAGCCACAAAAATAGGTTGAGGTACAATTTGGGGTACTTATAGTAGGGTTGATTTATATATAAAGGTCATCTAATTATGCTCTTATATATGAGGCTAATTAATGACGATGGCTCTGTCCAGGTGTCGTCATTTGAGCCGGTTCTCGGTGGATTGTTTTTAAGCATCTTATTCATTAAGTCTAGTTTACTCATATCAAATTTCAGCTAAAAGTTCAATCGGGAATGCATTCAAATGAATTTTTGAAGATAACTGCATATTTAACTGCGCAATTATCTTCAAGAATTCATTTGAATGACTTCCAGATTAATGTTTTATCTGAAATTTGGTTTGAGTAAACTAGACTTAATAAATAAGATGCTCAAAAAATTGCATCATAAAATTCCACTGGGAACCGCCCCAAATGGAGACGGCCGGACAGAGTCTCCTATATAAGGACTTTTACTTGAAAGTCTGAGCTTCTTAACGGTGGGTTTTAATTTAGGCTATCTACTAATTATAAAATAACCGCCAGTCATTTATCCCGAATTATAATCAACCATGCTTGTTGTACCCACCTTATACCAACCTCTGTGAAGGCTATTTTTTTGTCTGTGAAGCCGGTTCACAAACAAAATATGTCTTTGAATTCCTTCACAGACATATTTGTCTGTGAAGGAATTCACAGACGAAAAAAATAACTTCACAAACATGTTTGGGTACAAAAGTGGGTACAAGCATCATTTTCCAATTACAACTGGGGTACTTTAAAATTCGCCATTTATAAAGTGCTATCAATCCCGATCATGTTGCATCGTCATCGATGTATATCAGAATTGCTATTATATATGAGATGGTCACATTTAAATTACTCATGTGTAACTGTATTCCGTTTTATTTGTTATCAACATTTTAATCTATATACTTCGTATGAATTTGAGTGATATAAGTTGTTACTTGTTAGCATTATTACAAAGTATATTTTACACTTCTATTTTTATTTTCAACTCTTTCCTGTATGAATTTGAGTGATATATATAAGTTGTTACTTGTTAGCATTTACGAATTATATTTTACACTTCTACTTTTATTTTCAACCCTTTCCTCACACAATTAAAAAGTTAAAAGTATTTAATTAATTCCCCTTGTTTTGTGTGTGTAGTGTTCTTGGTGCCTTAAGTCTTTTAATCTTTTATACCCCAAATGTTTTAGTATTATTCAATTTTGTATTGTATATCCATGGATTATATAAAATCTAACAATAATCACTTCGATCAATTCTGTTTTAAATGGTGGGTGAAAACAGGTTATTGTATCATTACTTTATCCAGAAATAGAACATTACAAGGAGAAGCAGAATGTGCTATTGGTGCAGAACTCATTATTGCATCAAAGTTTGGATACTTTCACTCGAAAGTCTGAGCTTCTTAAAGGTACGTATGTATATATGTACGCTCGTAATAACCAATATAATGAGGCAATCAGCGGCGGCCTTTAATTGATTATTTTAATTAATACGGACTATATAATAATAGAAAATTTTCCTAAAATATTACTCAATTTAAAGTATTTTAAAGGACTCAATTTGAAGTTATAGAAAAAAATGGGATGGAAGTTACTATGAGTATAATATTATAGTCACTAAAGTTTCAAATTGAATATAAACAGTCACTAAAAGTTACCTAATATTCACTTTGTAGGTCACATTTTTGTTCATCATCTTTGATTAAAGTCATAATTACACACACACACATAATTAGTAGCACAAACTCTCTCCAATCAATTGGCGAGTCGGGGTATTAAGTAATAATGACATTTTATTCAAAGTGATTATAAAAGTAACTTTTAGTGAGTGATTATATTCAATTTTATACTTTAGTGACTATGAAGTTATATTTATAGTAATTTTAGTTTAAAAAAAGTTATTTTAGGGAAAAATCTCTTAATCACGTAATGCTTATGAAGTGTCTCGCTGACCGATCGGCGAGTCGTGGATTTCAAGTAATGATATGATGGGACCTGACACGGGGTGGAGACATCCGGTCCATCGCCCACAAATAGAGGGTCTATATTTAGATCAGATTTCAGTTTGGGCTTAAGTTCTCTACCTGAGTTTTGACTTGTGGGCCAATTAATTTTTTTTTAAAGAATGGGCCAATGAAGTTAGTCAGGGGTAGTCTGAAATTAAATATGGGAGATTCTATTTACAGCCTCTATTTTGCTAAGTACAGCCCCCGTTTAGTTTAAATATCTAATTTGCCCTCCTAAAATATAATAACATCCGGAAACTTTTGAACTAATAACAGTTTACTGAGCGTAAAATCACATGCAGAGATGGAATCGTTCAGGATTTATCTATTTATTCTGTATACACGTCGCCAGCAATAAGGGAAACACAAATTTGATGAAATCCGTGAATTCTTGATTAAAAAGAAGGCTCCATTCGAGATTGTAAATAGATTTACCTTCAGCCTTCAAGCACCACATACTATGAGGGAACCTGACAATCCCACATTCCCATCTATTACAAGAGTATAAGCTAATTACGAAGCACATAATAATCTATTTACAATCTCAAGTCCCACCTCAGACTCTACAAAGTAAACAAATCTCCCAGAAGAGAAAAAGTAAGCAGCAGTTCAGGTCGCAGAAGGAGAAAGAGTTAAAATTTTGGGACTTAATTAGCTTAA